CTTCCCCACATCTGATCACTTGTCAGTTCCTTGTGAGACTTTCCCCTTAATTTCTCCTACACCACACCATCCATAGGCTCCACCCAAGTCTGGGTTACTACGTCTCTGAGTAGTGCAAATGTATCACCTCTCTTCCTACCTCCAGGTGTTCCTTGGTAAAGGCACGCCTAATGAGTTACCCTGCCACCAAGCCCGGTGATTCTTAACTACCATATCTCCTTGGTCTTATCTCCTCTGGATCCTTGCTGGCGTCCTCTGCTGCATGGAGGCAACTGGTGGCATTTCCTGTTCCTATGGAAATCTCCCACATTCCCCCTGTGCTCAGGGTTCTAAGAAGTTCCCTGCACCGGGAATTTCCTCCCTATCTCTAACTTCAAAATCCTATAGTTTGTGTCATTCAGGGGTTTGGGTAAGCAGGAAGCCGAAGTGCCTCTGGTTACCTTAAGCAGAACAGGGATTTATGGGAAGGATATCAAGTAGTTTGCAGTGGGGCTGGAGGAGCTCCGAGAAGGGGCCAGGACCGAGCAGGTTAACATCTCTGTAAGGAAGTTCTGGGACCCTTCCCATAAAAGCCAACTGAATCTTGTCTTCTTCTCTGCCACACTCTCCAGTTTCAAAGTCCTGAGTGAGAAGTTTCTATCAGTCAATCCCAGACCATTTATTCTCACAGGGAGAATAAATGGATGGAGAAGCCCACTCTGCTTCCCCCAAGGTCAGCTGGGGGGGGGGCTCCCTAAAACCAGGAAGCGGGCAGGCTAGAGGGTGGCCAAGGTCTCTCAAGGTCCACTCCCAATGCCACCATCTTTCATAAAATCCAAAGATTCCTCTGACTCCCAGGACATAATTCACTTGGTGCTTTTCATATTTAGTTTTATATTAGAGTTATTTGTGTCCTGGTCTTATCCTTTCTCTGAGATTAAAATCTCAACTTATCCTCGTTTCTCCTGAATTCACTCTCCTAATACCTTACAAATAGAAATATACCAGATATGTTTAATTAAACTGGATGTTAAGATAGAAGGTCATAGAAAAGCTGATACGAATGTTTGCCGTGTGCCAAACACACAATTGAGAACAGTTTACATTACCTCACTTATTCTCAGTTTTTTGTAAGAGTAGCGTTACTTCTATTTGAGACCCAGAGAGGTTAAATGATCTCAAATCATGGGCTTGTAGCAGGCTGTGGGCCTCCGAAGTCTGACCCAACACCCTCAACCTTACCTTGGGTTTCCCATGAGTCCAATGAGGAGGCTCTGAATGGAACTCCGAAGGAAGAGGGAGGGGGAAGAGGAGTTCCTTCCTGTGTCTGCACTGTTGAGGCAGAAATTGGTGTGACTATGTGGGACACAGAATGAGGAGCAGAGTCACTGGAGTAAATTTACTGGAGTAAATTGGGACAGAGTCAACAATGAGATTGCTGTGGTAGGACTAAGTTTGAGAAGGCTTTGAAAGATAAATATTAGGATTTAATGCCGAATTGATTTTGGGGGAAGGGCTTATCCTTTTTCTTTTTATTATAGCATGAAAGAGGAAGGGAGAGAGAGAATCTTAACATGGCAGGACTTGATCTCCCAAATTTGAGATCATCACCTGAGTCGAAATCAAGAGTCAGATGCTTAACCAATTGAGCCACCCAGGTGCCCCAGATTTATACTTTTTTCACTTTCAATATTTCATTATTGGAGACATTTCAATAGTAAAACAAACTGGGCATTCTATATAGAGGAATGCAGAGACATACATTTTCAGACAAAACAACAGTTGGAAAGAAATGTCTCCCCCGTGTTGAATGGTGGCCCCCAAGCTATGTTCATGTGGAAACTGTGAATGTGATCTTATTTGGAAAAAGGGTCTTTGTAGTTGTTATAAGTAAGGATCTCAAGATAGGATCATCCTGGAATGGGGGGTGGGGTGGGGGTAGGGTACTAAATCCAATGACAAGAGAGAAGGGGCCAGAACACACAGGGGGTCAGGCCATGGGAAGACAGAGGCAGAGATTGGAGTGATGTTTCCACAAGTCAGGGCATGTCTGGAGCCACCAGAAGCTGGAAGAGGCAGGGAAGGAGTCTCGCCTATAGCCTTCTGAGAGAGCATGCTGACACCTTGATTTCAGACTCTGGCCTGCAGAAGTCTGAGAGAATAAACTGTGTTTTAAGCCATACAGTTTTAGGTAATTTATTAAGATAGCCCTGGGGAAATGATTATAGGCCTCTTAGGGCTCAGTTCCTCAGCCTTCTCAGGAGCAGATTCTCAAGCCTTCTGCTGTCAGAGAACTTTTGAGAAACTGTGGTGGGCAATGGGGAGCCGTGGCTTTTTTTTGAGCAGGGGGGAGGCAAGATAGATGCAATTTTTAGGAAGACTACAGTGACACTGATATCCAGCATAAATTTGGGAGATGGGAGGAAGTGAGTGACAGAAGGCAAGCTGGAAGGTAATGGGTGTACCTGGAAAAAACAGGAATCTTAGAATCAGTATGTTCAGTTCTGACCCCAGTTCCTTCACTTAGTTTCCATTTTTTCATGTATATAAGGAGGATAATACTATCATGTATGAGTTACAGATGATATATCTATATCTATATCTATATATCTATATCATATATAATATATACATATCATCTTTATACATATACATATGAAGAACTAAAAGAAGTTTCATAAGTGTTATCAGTAATAATGTAAAAATTTGGAAGGTACCACTGGAGAGGGAAAAGAAAATACAAAGAGCTGTTTCAAGATCACCAGGACTCAGAATCATGAAGATTTAGAAGGGAGAGGGATCCCAAGATCACCTAGTGCCCTCTTCTCACTGCCCTTGGGGAGACCTTGGGAGAGGGAAGGAGGAAATGGAATTGCAGTGAAGTTCCTCCCAGAGTTGAGACGCCTAGTGGACTCTTGGCCAAGCCTGAGACCGTGGAGGAGGAGCTACTTTGGGAAGGAGATAAATTTCATCTGAACTTGGCGATATCGAAGAGTTGATGAGCTCCAGAGAGAATGCAGACTGGGGAACTCTCTAAGGTTACAGATCTGGGAGTTAATCACTGAACATCCATTCTGGAAGCATACCAAAAAAAAAAAAAAAAAAAAAAAAAAAAAAAAAAAAAAAAAAAAAAAAAAAACCCTCTCAAAAAAAAAAAAAAAAGGAAAAAAAAGACATATCGGAATAAAAACAAAGGGCCAAATTCTGCTTTGGGATTATTATTGTTAGAAGCTGGAAGGACAACATGCCCTGTAAGGGACAGATGTGAAAAGGTCAGAAAGGTAGCCGTGTTATATAGGTGAAAAGATGACTGAATTTCAGGTAATACCAGAAATGCCATGTCCTTCTGAAAACTGCATAGGATAAAGATTAGGAAAGGGACACTGGGTTTTAGATAGAGAATGTCCTCGGGGACTTTACCTTTGTAAATGAAGGAAAAAGGAAGAGGGGTTCAAGAATGACGATTCAGTGATGGTTTTCAAAGCAGACAAGTTAAAAACTGGGTCAATGTTATTATAGGTATTTTGGGTAAACTAATTTAAAATTGGGCCAGACCATTTATCATGATTCTGCTTTCCCTATTAATAAGACAAAAGAATGACCAAGGTACCTCTCTCCCAAGGTCAAAGAGAAGCCAGCTATCCAGATTCCTTGATCTTGAACCCATCCCTGCTCAGTATACTGTACCTACTTCCAACTGGTCACCTACTGAGTGCTCCCTATAGAGAGGAAAGGTGCCAGGGACTGACATAGGAGGTAGGTAAATATGATCTCTTCATTTGTTAGATTTTAGATTGGTCAAGAAACACCCGTGCAAGGTTCCACGGTCGAAAAAGCAGAAAGGCAAACACTGTACTGTGACTTCAAAGTTATACTGGTTCTAGTCACCCTACTTGGGTACTTCCTTTTGGGAACAAGGCAGGGGATGAATGATTCAGATGATACAGCCTTGTCACCTTGGGTAAATTATTATTGCCTTAATAATAATGAGAAGCCAGGAGCCTAAGAAAGAATCTCATTAACATGGATCCAGGCTATTCCGTCAGGAAATCAGAATCATTTGAATAGCAGGATTTCCTTTTGGAAAGCCAGATGGGAAGGAGACTGGAGAACAGACATCTGGATGCCTGTGCGTGTTCTAGGAAAACTTGTCTTTCCCCTTCCTCTTGGGTTTTAATCTTCCTTATTTGTTTACAGGTAACCCCCTACGTGTGGCCAGGTGACTGGACCAGTCCCACTGCCAGTGGCAGCTGCTTCGGGGACCCACATTCTGGCAGCTCCTTCCATGGTTCTGCCTGGTTGGGCACGCTTGAGCGGGACAGTGAGCACGGGGGGCTGGGTTCCCTCTCTTCTTCTTAAGTGCTTCCGACAGGAATGATGGAGTACCAAAGTGTTTGTTTGGGAAAGTAAATAGATACAAGGCAAATAAATAAAAATGCCCAGAAGCAATTACAGAAAGGAAGTGACATTTTTATGTAAGTCCCTTTTCTGATGGACCACAGGCCTGCTTTGCTGAGAGTGCCGTGGGAATGCTTCCGGGAGGGGGCCGGTCGCCAAACAACTAGAGCGTCGTGATAAGAAAATCAAACAGAAAGAGGATGGAAAGGCCACCCAGCAGTCACTCGAGGCTGGAAGTTGCTGCCTTTATTTCCTCTCCGTTTGGCTCACCCCCACCGCTGCCCCATTCCCGGAGCCGGCAGTTTGGGGAGCGGGAACCTCTCCTCCAGGTCGGCGCCGACCCCGCGCGCCCGCCGCGCCCGCCGCGCCCGCCGCTCCCGAGCGCCTAGTCTCCCGGCCGAGGCCGAGCCCCCGGCGCTGCCTGCGCGCCCCCAGGTGTGCGTCGGGCCCCCGCCGCGCGCGCGGGCTCGGGCCGGCCCCTGGGCGGTGTCGCGGCGCGGCCGGGGAGGAGCGGCGGGAGGAGGGGGAGGAGGAAGCGCGCGGAGGAGGCGGGCGCAGCGCGCCGGGGGAGGGTCGCCGCCGCCGCCGCCGCCGCCGCCGCCGCGGGGATCGTCAGGCCGGAGCCGCGCGGCCGAGCGGGCGGCAGGCGGCGGGGAGGGCTCGGCGGCGGGAGGCTCGCGGCGGCCGGGCCGGCGGGGTCCGCCCGGGCCGGCAGCGTCCCCCGAGCGGCGGGAGGAGGGAGCGGCGCAGACAAAGAGCGGCGCCTGGGCGGGCGCTGAGCGGCCGCCGCCCCGGGACCCGCGCGGCTGCCCTCCGGCCTCGGCGGGCGGCCCAAGGCGAGGTAAGCGCTGCGGGCGGGCTCGGGGCGGGGGCCGCGAACTTGGGCCGCGCGGCGGAGTTGGCGCGCGCCGGGGGAGGGGCCGGGGGGCCGGTGCCCTCGGCTCTCAGCCGGTGCCCTGGGGCCCCGCCGCGGCCTGGCCCCCTGCGGCCGCGACTGCCGGGCACCTCCCGGCTCCGCACCTTCCCGTCCGCCTTCCGGGCGCCCCCCTTCACCTTCTCCCGGCCCGCGCGGGGGGCGGGGGCGAGGGCGGCGGGCGGACGCAGGGGGGGCCTGGGCGGCGCGTTCCCAGGACCAGAGACCCCCGGGCGCGTGGGGCGGGGTGGGGGGATGCGTCCGGCCTGCGGGCCGGCAGCGGCGGGCACCGAGGCGGGGGCCGGCGTGGGACCGTTCGGTGGCCGGGGTTGCCGTGGCGAGAGTCTCCGGGAAGAATAGCCCAGCTTCGCCCGGCCCCGGCGCGGGGACGCGGGAGGCCGAGCATGGCCCGGAGAACTTACTGTGTTTATGACAACTATTTACGATCCCGCACAAAGCTTGCTGTCACATCGCATAAAGGAGGTCCTCGCCTGGGCGAGGGGCGCTTTGTGATGGGTTCCAGGCTCTGCGTCCTGTCCCAGATTTACATGACTCTCTTACAGCCACCTGAAAGAAAAGTTTCTCACATCGCTCTGCCCTCTCGGTTTATTCAGGGCGATTTAAGCACCGAGTGGTTCTGGAAGAATTCGGTGTGTGATTTTTAAGGCACTGAAGGTAACTCCCTTGTGAGCGCAGTTAGCGTGGCATTGTGTAGAGGTATCTAATTTGCAAAAACGCTTTAATTTGTAGACAATAATGATCGCTGAGGAAGGTCTGCGCAGGATGCGGGGTGGGGGGGTGTCATTGACTGATGAACCGCAGGCACCTGACTTTAACTAGCATTGTAACAGCTTCAGGGACAAAGCAGGAACCTGTATGGTGGGCCTCTATCACTTCAGACAGTTCCGGTTGGCGGTTTCCCCTTTATTAGGTTTTGTTTATTTTGCCAACAGGTTTAAGGCTATATCTGCCAAGTTTGTGTCTGCATAATGGGATGAGCAGGCCCCAGGAACCTACAAATCTTGCAGGCCTCCTCCTTCCATTGACCCAAACAGAAACTGTACCCCAGAGGCCAGTGGGCATTGACTTAGCCCAGGACCTGCAGGTAGGAGAGGCCCTTCCTACTTCAGGCCCAGCCCTGGCTTCTCCTGCCTTCTGGGAAGGGATTTGGGTAGGAATGAGAGTAATTCGGGTGTGTTTCATACCATTGCGTTTGATATTGTTAGCAGCCCTGCTTTTCAAATCTTCAAATGAGTGAAAATGAAATTAACCAGGGCTACTGTAACTTATCAAAACAGATCTAAACTTTGCTTCTGAATACTCTTAATGCCCTTACCAGGTGCTCCTAGATAGGTGGGTAAATTAACAGGATTCCAGCATTTTCGGTGTTTATAGACCTAGAAGGGAAACGGTGGTAGTGAATGCATGGAGAGAAAATGGGCTTAACTGGGAGCTGGGGCTGTTGATGCAGGTGTTTGGAACAGGGATTTCCCAAGAAATGGGTGTTAACCAGGCTGGTGAAGCAGTGACCAGCAAGGGAAAATCCTACCTTAATTATTTCTCCTGTTGAGGTTGGTGAGGTGTACTTTTGATGGGAGAGAAAGGCCGGATGTTTGTGGTCTTCTGGCTGCAGCTACTTGGAGGCTGACATTGAGAACTTCAAGCGGTGGGGAGCTTGTGGAGAAGATGCTTGACTCTGCTTCCTCTCCGCTAGGCCTCACCTGGGCTCGGAGCTTCTCAGCTGCTACCAAAACACAGGACAGTGTTGATCACCGAACTTAGGATCAAACTGGGTGGCAAATCACCACCCGTGGAACTGACCACACCATCACCCGCCTCTGCCCACTTGTGGAGAAACTGGCCCCTATTTATTTATGTATTTATGTATTTATTTATTTTTAAAGATTCTATTTGTAAGTAATCTCTATACCCAATGTGGGGCTGGAACTCAGAACCCCAAGATCAGAAGTCCCCTACTCCACCGACTCAGCCAGCCAGGCGCCATGAAACGGGCCCTTTTTAAATGGGTGGGGCTGTTTAAGGTGCATTTCTAAGAACTGTGCTCAGTTTCCAAGCTTCGAGTTTTGTTTTATTACATGCTATATGCTTAACTTCTCTCCTTCCCTGAAATCTGTGACCCTATCCTGTCATTTGCATTGGGGGAACATTGAGGTTTTCCAACTGGCAGCAGATCTTATGTACACAGTATTTGAGAAAGGCATTATCATCCATATTAAATACACCGGAAATCTTCTTTGCATGTGCACAAACTTGATAACCTTTTGAAATACCCTAAAGACTTCCTGATTGCCCGGAATAACCTGGAGTCCTTTACTTGATAACTTGCATTAGCTTAATTTGCCCTGGCTAAATGAGGCTGTGTTGCTCCCTGGGATACACATGCTTCCAATGGCCCAGACTGACTTGCAGCGTGTGCTGGGGGCAGAGAGGGCTTTTGGACGTGGTTCTCCATCATTCAGAATGAGGCCGGCTAGCTGAGGAGCTGAAAATTGCTTGCTGGACCTGCAGGGGAGGGCAGTGGGCAATGTTTGGGAAAACTAGTAAGCAGAACTTTTTTTCACAAATGAACTGGAAACTCCCCACGACTCACCCCAGAGGCTTAGGGAATTAGTTTTCCCATCCAGAGGGATAGCAAATGGTGCTTCCAAATGGTTTCTCTTTCTTCAGATGAGTGATGGAAATCTTTCATGGCATGTTTTCAAAGGGCCTAAGTTAAAAAGTGCTATCATGTATGTTGTTAAATGCTTGAGTTCAGACAACTTAGAAGGAGGTCAAGACAGCCTTTAACTGGTTATCAAAAGTATGCAGCTAAAGTAAAAATAGTTTCCTAGTTCTTTAGGCCATTTTAGTAACACAGTTTTAAAAATTAGACTGTTTTTTCTTTTCCTGCATTTTACTTTGAACAGATCTCAAAGTATGTATTTCTGAAGGTGTAATCAACATTAGCAAGTTATATCCACTCACCCCCACACATACACACGTCACAGTTTGCCCTATGATTTCTTGTGTTCATACCTTATACTCATGGTTCCCAATGAATACTAACTAAACACGTGAATACCGAGTTCTGAGCCTATTGAGTTATTGGGGCTCTAGGTTCCCACGGAGATGTGAGTAATGAAAGATCTCCAGGATCTTTGTACATCTGCTCAGAACCTATGACATCGTGGAAGCTTTTGTCCCCAGGATGTCCAGACAATGGGCGAATTTGGCCTGGTGGCCTCTCTTATTTGGTTAGATCTTGGTCAGAGGAGTCATTTATAGTCCTGCAGCTAAACTTAAACCAAAAACCAAAACAAAACAAACCCAACAAAACAAACAAAAAGCAAAACAAGAAACAAATCCGGTTGCATAACCACCTGTAGGTTTGGCTGCATACCTATGCTTTTCAGTGGATTGTGGGAGCCAGCCTGAACTGGCAGCTTGGGGCAAAGCCTTTGTTACCTGCTGGGTCAGTGAGTTTGTTAGCTCCGCCTTACTTCTTCCTCCCCTTTGTATTTTTCATGTTTTTAAGAGAAGAAGCTTCCAGCACATTCCAAACTTAAATATTGCAGTTTCCTCTTGGTAGTTGTGCTGGTCAGTGATTCATGAAGATCCGAAGTGCCACAGGCAGGTAAGAGTAATCGGCGTTAATACTGACATGCTAATTCAGGGCTTACAAATGGCGTTCCACACATGCCATCCTGTTTCATATTTGAAATAACATGGTAAAATGGGCGCGGGTCCTTCTTTCTCCGTGAGGAGTCTAGAGCTCAGGGACAACAGCAGGGAGGACAGAGCTTGAACTTGAGGGTGGTAAGTGCTTCCCATCGGATCCCTGTGCGGTTAGCCCTGAGGCTAAGCAGATGGCAGGTGGGGAACCCCAGAAGGGTGCTGGGGAGCTGTTTTTGTAAGGTTACTGATGTGCTAGCTCATCCCACTGGGACGCGGAGTGCACAGACCTTGCGTGGATGCCTTTGTCACATCGCAGGTGCAAGCAGAGAGCGGTGGGAGCAGGGTCTCCGTGTGCATTGACTCTTTGAAGGTGAGCCGTTTCGGGGAGACCGTGTCAGTGAGCAGTTCAAGTGAAACTTTTGTCCTCGCTTCGTTGCTGGGAGCCAGCATCACCCTAGACAGTGCCTGCAAGTGGAAATGTGCTTGTTCTTCCTCACCGTGTGTTCTGGATACAGAAACAGAACCGCACAGGCCGGGTGCAAAACAGAAATTTGTTTCTCATCCTTCTGGAAGCTGGGAAGGCCAAGATCAAAGGCAGGCTGATTCAGTCCTTGGTGAGCCTCTCGTCCTGGCTTGTAGAAGGGCACATTCTTGCTTCGTCCTTGTGTGCCCTCTCTTTTCTGCCTGGAGAGAGTCACTGGTGGCTTTTCCTCTTAAAAAGTCACCAGTCCTGTGGGATTAGGGCCCCACCCATACGGCCTCACTGAATCTTAATTACTTCCTCAAAGGCTCTGTCTCCAAATGCAGTCACAGTGGGGCTTAGAGCTTCAACATACTGGGAGGGGGCGGGGAACAAGTCAGTTCATACCAGTGTGTAACCCTGTGTTGGGAAACAAGACTGATCATCTTGGGAAGTCCTCTTGCTTCCTTAACCCAGATCTGGAATCTGTATTTGAGGACACCTGCCAGGGGTGGTTACAGAGCAGAGGTAAGGAGGGGATGGCGGCTCTTTCCTAGTCACACAGACTCAGCATAGGGAAGGATCCTTGGCACTGGGCTTCCAGATGCTGGTCAGATTTTAGGTGGGATGATTAAGGGGAGAGAGCAGTGCTGACCTAATGCAGTTATGGATGCTTCCCCTCAGTGGAGGTAGGTGTTTTTGGGATCAGGATTGTGATAAAATATCAGATCTCGTGAAAGCACTGGGTTTGTATGGCCATGAAAGCGCTTCCTGGCCCTGGGTGAAGAGAGCA